AACAGAGAATGGATGAAGAGACCAGCGGGATGATTTGTGTGAGACTGCTCTGCCAAGGTCACTCTTGGCAGACCTGGGGCCAGCAGGGCCCCCATGTGCCGTCCCTGCCTCCATCTAACTGCCTGCCGCCACACATGCGGACACCTCTCACTAGCTCTTAATGGCTTCCCCGGGTTCCTCATGACAGCACAGCCATTATTTATGAGCTGGGGGCCTGTCACAAAGATGCTTAATGCAGGCTCTAAAGCCTCGTTCACTTTGCGTTAGTTTAATTAAAGGCAAATGGTCCCAGTGCTGTAAATGCTGTGTGAACTGTATCATTTAGGGCTGTGAAAATGGGTAGTTATCCAAGTTGGAAGCTGATGGAATTTGTTTCCAAGAGGTATTGATTCCATGACTCATCTCCTTTCCATCAGATGTTTCCAGAACAGAGACAGGAAATACTGAAGATGGAGAAACTGATAGGTCATTAGTACTGAATGACAGGATGTTTCTCCATTTAAATCTCTCAAGTATACTGTATAGATTCAACTCTAATGAAACAACTACATTAGATAAGATCAGATCAAAGGCAGTGAAGTAACAGCTAAAATACAATACAATAAAGTACAACACACACAACATGTTATGTCCAAATCTGTCAAAATCGGCATTTTCACCTTTTAAAGGCAAACTATGCTTTTTAATATTTACTTTGATAAATATAAACATCCTTAAAAAACCCTTTTTCATTTACCATAAAAAAGTCAGACATTCAGCGTCGTATAAACACAAGCAGCTATGTAAGAACTGTACCAAAGTAAGTATTTTAATATGTTTTTCATTAAATTGGAAAGCTCTGTTAAGAGACACAGAGGGACTGTGTTCAGAGAAAGGGGTTATTTGATTATCAGAATAGTTGCTGATTGATTAACTGTTGTAGCCCTAAACTATACTTTTTCAGTAACTATTATATTTTCTCCATAACATTTGCTTTATTTCTCCCTCAAACAGAGAGCTCAGTCTACGGACACTGGATGTCTATTTGGTCTATTTGTACCTCCTTGTAAACGTATCACCATATGTTGTATATGAGTGTTGTGCTAAAATCATCTCACTGTATACATTTGAACATTTTTATACTGTATTTTTTACCATTTTGGGAGGGGGTAGTCAATTCCACTAGTTGCCCAACATTAAGATTCAATTTATTTAACCTTTTGGGAAATAAATCATTCTAGTCTCACTGCTCAAGAGATAGAAACTGAGGTGCCTTGAAAAAGAGGCCAGGTTATGCAAACAACTTTGGGACCAAACTCGGGTGGAGGCAATGTATAAAAAGATTGACTTAAATAAATACACAGTGTAGGAATCCAGCTCACTGTATTCTCCTGTTCCTCTGGAGCTAACAGTACATCTGATGCAGGGATAAAAAAAGACAGTGATTGCATTGTGCAAAGAGAGGGAGAAGGAAACAGTAAAGGAAAGGAGAAAGGTTTGCTTATCAGATTGAGACCCAGCAGGATGAGGGCAGACACTGGAAAGGAGCCAGCCACCAGGAGAGACAAGGACACTGGCCCACTGCGGTACACTGCCAAGCTGCATCTCATAACCACACAGCAATCTGCACAAACACTGAGATTCCGATCTAAACATATAGGTGTGTAGAATACCAGTGGCCACTTGTAAACATTTTCCACATGATAACAGCTTACTGCATCAACACATGCTGCAGTTCTGCAAGTCAAAAGTTAAAGCATTCAACATTTGGCTGAAACAAACACACACGTACACTTTACTGTCCATTTTTCTTCCTTCCTCATGTGCACCAACAGCAACAAAATAGCAAACTAATAAATAAGATAAAAAATAATCTTGGCTGCATTTACTGTAATTCAAATGAGCTACTATGATGCTGAAGGGAAGGACTATGATTCAGCTGGTGAGAGAGTTACTGTTACTGTTGCAGGGATATCCTTACAGTATGCTGCATTACTGTATATAATGCAGCATCTGTATGAGTCAGTGAAATATAACACTTGCTTCAGGAACAGTGGGTAATAATATACCAAGGTCATACTAGAAAGACGACACCTCTTGCATGTGGGTGAGAAAATAAAAATAAAACAGACTTTGGCAATGACCTTTTCACTCTAGGAGGAGGAGCAGTAGTTTACTTTATGCATTGCATACAGCAGTGACTTTCTGCAACACTGCTGCACCCCTGAATATTTTAGCAAAGCAATTTCTTGCACAATTTCTACTTGTTGGAAAGCACATGACATTATATGGAATTAAAAGCATGAGCAGTACACATTCAGGTCTGTTTGATAAAGAAGACGCTGCAATGTTTGTTTACTGCATCACAGATGCATATTATGGGACATAGGGGATTTATAGTGACAGTCGCTGTGTCAGTGTGATGATGCAATGTGAGTTTTTGTTTGCCAGTGACTCAGAGAAACAAAATATTTACCTCAGCCTCGTGCAAGTCTGAGCTGCAATCAACAGTACTGCTATTGGACCTGACAGCTGCTCTGACTCAAGGCATACCTGAGGGAGGAACGGGGGTTGCATGGTTTCCAGGGTCACAAAAACTCATAACTTAAGCTTTACACACATCTCACTCACATGTCTGTCAAGGTTAATGCAAGCAGATACCTGGAAAGTACCAGAGCATCAAAAGAAATTGCCCAAAGTCAGCATTAACACTGTAGTTGAGCAACTCTTTTGCTCAGCCTCATTCGGTTGCTATGGAGACCATCCCTGGGGGCAGCAATGGGAGGAGGCTGGGTGGTGACATCACGTTTACAGTGTATCTGATGCCACTGGGATATTTCAGGTAAAGTTACAGCACAATGACAAAGCACTTTTTATTCCCCAGCAGTCAGCTGCAGTAGGCAAAGATGAACTTAAAATGCCAAGTATGTGGGTTATTAGTTTTCTTGCTCCACACCCGGGATATTTTTAGGCCCAACATATGTAACTGTTGCTTGCTGTATACAAAACTGGCTCCACTGTCAGCTTCAGTAAATCTCA